TCGGAATTTATGTTGTTTTTTAGTCTGTGTCATCATCATCCCCTTCTGTTCGCCTTTTACTTACCGCCTGATTATTTGACAAGGTTTCCAGCTTCTTCCTATCTGCTTACTAGTACAGCTACTAATACATAATGAAATGATGAAAGATAAATTCTGTACCAGAATTCAAATAAAGCAAGAATAAGGATTTGTGCAGAATAAGATGGTACCATGATTTGTGTCTTTGGATTCTTATCATCTGAGTGGAGGTCAAAGAAATTATTAAGTTTATTCACAGAACAATTTTAACATACGTGCAAATGTTACGTAATGTCAGTTGGCATCAGGCTCAAAACTTAACAAATAGTTTATACCCAGAGAGTTCAAGCTTAAACAAAGCAAAAGAGTTACATACTAGAGAAAAGAGATGAAGACGAAGATGAGTAACTCGTAAATTGAATAAAAATATGGTGAGTTCAGCTCAAATCACAGAAAGAAAATACACTCAGAATTACACTTTATCAAATGCTTGAGAGGTTGAAGTCAAGGATTATGTAATCAAATAAATGAGACAGTAGACACATTCAGTTACCAAGGCAGGTAAAGACTGATAACTGTTCTCTTCTCAACACATAACTCGGGTTTCGGGTGGTTGTTGGAGAATGCTTCGGCAAACTTGAGGGGAATTGAACGCTTTTATCTATTGATACTTTTAAAGGATTTCGTGATATCCACCTGATGACCCGTATTGATGAAATATCTGACGGTGACACTATTGCAGGCGTTTGTTCCCTTGATATGTAGGCTTTTTCGTAAATGTTCAGAAAATCAGAGTTGTTCCCTTCTTTCTGTATAGAGAGTTAGAGTTAACATGAGAAGGGTATCCATTGACCTTGCATTGTTCCAAAGGTCATGTTGTCGGATAAACGCGAACTTACTTAGCCGATGTACACGGTTGATGAGAAGCCAACGAAATAAATGATGGTGTCATCTTATTCTTCACAAAGTGTTGTTCTTGCTTATTTCCAATTCCCAAATTGGAATTAGTGCATGAAACTGCTAGAATTTCTCAGTTATTGTACAGAGATAGTAAATTAAACCATATAAATATATTTCTGCATAGTTGAACCACATAATTTATCTTTCTTTTAGTTAATATCTTCTGTTAAATTCTCAATTTTCTTTCTTAAAACCAACAGCAATTACATTGAACAGATATGACCTTTTCAACTTCTGTGAAAACGTGTGGATTATTTCTGCATCTGAGTGCACCACCACCATCAACAATTAATTCAAAACACTCTTTGAACTAGCTAGCCTAATTTTATACTCTTGATATATACTCATTTATTTAAAGTTTCACTTTGTTTGTGTTTTGTTATTTATAATAAACTTTAAAAGAATTCTCTGAAGTTTTCACAAACACTTCCGTTTCCACATTACTTTTTAAAGAAGTAGTACAATGCATGCATACCTTCTACTTAACCGTTATTAAATCTAAGAAACTTCAACTTTATAACATATAAGAAGAATAGAGAGGCAATTATTAAATAAATGTGAATTTATGGAAGGAAACCGCTTTTGCTGAATTATATGTGTGCTACGTGGAAATGGCTGATAAATTGATTGTGTTCCTAATTAGTGTGAAATATTTCACGTTTCATTAAAGCTGTTCTTCAAAGTAAACAAAATTTTTTAAGCGTTGCATTGTTTAACTGACAGAAATGAGCACATTAACAGCAATTAATAAGTCATTGTTCATATTGTTCAATGTGAAATTTTTGTTAACTGAGAAGATAAACTACAATAAACTGAAACAAATTGTGGCGAAGAAAAATTATACACTGAATCATTCTTCTGCTTAATTCTACATTGATTAATAGCGACTTTTCATTCAGTCTATCAGGATTTTCGTTTCGCAGTGAATAATAATAATATTAACAATGATCCCATGGTTCCAACAACACAGCTTCATCTCATTCTTCTTTCTGCACGTTTACTCACCGGCTTTTATCTCCTCCACACATGATCTCCACCATGTCTCTCTCGGTCACACTCTCAAACCATCTGTTCACAACCAGGTGCCAGTCAAAAGATTGCCCGGTGCGTGATCTCACTCGACTGTGTCCTCAGTATATGCCTGATCCATATACGTTTCACTCGTTACATCTCTTTGGCAATGGGTTCTTGGTTGGTTCCCAGAGTTCCCCGTTGCATATCTTTCCTGTCCATCTAGTATTCAGTACTGAGTGAAGTTAGCTGTTGACAAAGGTTTGAATCCACTCCCAACGGGTTTTTGTGACACAACCTTCAAGTCTCTAAACAATATGGAAGAACTGGACTGGCATTAGTGTTGGAAATCCAAATCTTGTTCATTAGATTTAGTGCAGTAGACTTTTAGACTAACTTCAGATGAATTAGTAATAATAAGATAACATTATTTCTACTTAACTTCCTCTATTCAGAGCTGAGCAAACTGTTAAAATATTATTACAACAGAGTTAACTACACATTGAATTTTATGTGCAATTACTAGACAACACTTCTTCATTGAGAAGTAATCGAGTGTGTATCACTTAGTAAGAAAGAGTATTTAGTGATGTGTCATGTTCTACCGGAGTTTCTTATTGTCCAGTTTCCACCTTCTCCTACGTAGCAAAGTATACTATGAATCATAATCGTTTGTTCATACTATGAACAGTGAATTTACTGTAGACGTATCATTACCTGTTTTTGATATTATGGTAGAATCGCGAAATCCTATGCATACATATTTCTGTTGATGTAATAGTATTTAATTGGCTAACGGATGGTACTTTAAGTGCTGCTGAGAATGGAAGACGAAATGAAGAATTGCTTCGCAGAGGGGTACGAACCAACGGCTTCCAGAGTGTTAACACAATGTTCTATCAATTAAGCATATTTAGTTACCAAGCACTAGTCCCATGAGTGATGCCTCTTTTCTTCATTTTCCTGCTAAGTGTATACTTGAAAGTATGTTTTATTTTGCTGTGACTACATCAGTGTCAACATGAAACAGAAATAGATGTAAAACGGATTGTTGAGTAATTCAAAACAACTGGTGTTTTGAACAGTGGAATATTAATTAGCCTAGCACACAGAGTGCGGAAATCGAACAAGATCGACTGAAAATTGAGTTTTAACAGAGCAAATCGAAAATTGATTACCGACAAATTAATTTTCACGACTTCTCAGATCATGACCACTGGGTTAAAGCTAAACTGGAAAACTTTCTCACTGAGTGATTTACTTTTAATTTCTTTCAGGAAAGTTTATGGAGTCTGGAGATAATTCAGGAATTCATGACTGATTGCAAGTAATCCCTTAAATGACTGCTTCTGAATTGGCAAATTTATCGTTGTGTGGTGGTAATATTTTAATACAGATTCACCAAGCAGATAAAGATTCATTTGGTATATTTTTGAGTCGGTGGTTCTGTGCATGTGGTTTGGGGCTCAATTCTCGGTCGATACACTCATAAACCTCTCTTAGCCGGCGTCAATCCCAGTAAAAGGGAAGGGTTGGATTTGAGATTAACGACCCCACCCCGTGAGAACATCACTGCCAGTGAAGCTTCAAAGCTCAAGCTTGAAGCCCTGTGTTGCGCTTGGAGCTGAAAAGAATGAAGGAAGAAAGAATTGTCGCTGTATTTAAATAAATCTTCACCGGCAGTTTTTGTCTCATTGTATCTTCATTGTTCTGTTCCTATTGATTTTAACTCTTCACCATCACTCGATTGACTATAAATCCATCTTCTAAATCTTTTTTTATTCCTTCACGTTCCCAGCGGAACATAGGGCTTCAAGCTAGAGGCTTGAAGTTTCTGTAGCAGTGTTTATTTTTAGAGGATGGGGTTGCTAGCCTCTTGCCCAGCCTTTCCTCTTTACCAGCTTTTTTATTATTGGCTTAGTGAGGTAGGGGAGTGTGTCGGCCGGGAATCAAACCCCGGACCATGTGCATGATCGGCATGTGTCCTAACCGCTATGCCACCAACGCATCTTCTAAATCTGATATCTGCTTATTTTAACCAAATAACAGTTTCTAAATAACAGATAGTATTAATATTATGCTGTGGACAGTTTTATCACTCTTTACTCTTGGATTTATAATTTTACAATGTGAACTGGAAGTTATTGGAAAACAATATTTGTATACATTAATTTGAATTTACGTCTGATTGGTATAAGAGGAAGAGAACTTCTCAGTTACTTTTGAGATGCTGTTTCCTAGAATAGACAATTCAATGGTGTCTGATAGTTTACACGAAGTCATTCAGATGAGGGTAGTGAGCGAAGGAGTCGATGATGTGCACTTCTTTTTATTTTAAGCGTTTCAGCTGGTTGTACATACATCCGTATTGAGCAATGTTGCTGAAATATAATCTAAGGCAGTGCATTTCAGTAGAATATAAATTAGTCAACACGGAGTTTCAGTGAAAAATGATACGCCTTGTACAGAAATCGGCTCTCATAACCTAGTGTATAACGCTTTGATTTTCGAATCGACCCTTTATTGTTTCGAGTCTCAGTGTATACACGATCGTTCACTGAGGATGCATGCACATCCAGGTGTCAGGTGCAAAATAGGCCGACCATCAACTAAATGAGTTAAAAAAATATTTCATCACAGTCATTCCCGTTATGATTGTATGCAGCACTGTGTTATAAAAACACTTGTTAGCTTTTCACATTGTATTCTATCCTACTAATTACTATTTCTTTGTATTTGTTACTTCTTATTCTGCGGAACAATTCATTTGTTCATTTTTCAATGGGAAGATGGTTTCATTTAATTAGGCATAGAATGTAATACACACTGACAGAATGTGTGGATTGTTTACTTTTATATGTGTGTCAGAATTGCACAATTCAAGAATTTCTTAACTTTATTTTTGGTTAGTTTCAGTTGGTTAAATAATATACATTTACTAATCGTTCATCAGAGTTGTTCGTATAAATAGAGATTTTCAACAGAGTCATTTTTAATCTAATTAAAGAAAAATGTTTTCACTATTATCATCAATATCATCTTCACTATTACCGCTACTAATTCTATTGACTACTTGTTGTGAATGTAAGTTTACAGACTTCTAATTATATATATATATATCGCATATATGTATATTATTTTATTCCTCTACGTTCTTCGGGGGAACATCGGGCTTTAAGCTAGAGCTTTTAAGTTTCGGTAGCAGTGGCGTTTTTCTTCGGGTTGGAGTTGCTAGCCTCATGTCTAACTTCCCTAGTTACTAGTCTTACTAGCCACTTAACAATGTAAAGGAGTGCGCTAAGCCGGCAATAAGATCAGTAAAGAAGGGAGGTTGGGCATGAGGCTAGCAACTCCACCCCGTAAAAACCAACACCACTGCTACCAAAACTTCGAAGCTCTAGCTTAAAACCCTATAATCCCCCGAGAAAGGTAAAAGAATAAAATAATTATAATAAATTACATATATATATATATATATAAGGTGATCACGCGTATATTTATCACTATGCATATCTCAATTTGTAGAATATTTACTCCGTATTACAATATGATACCTTGTCTGAAAGTTTTTTTTTTCATCATTTACACAAATAAGAGGTTAAATTTTATTTTTTTTACATCAAAATTAATCGATTACAAAGAAATATTCTGTATTATTAGTTTCATTTCTTCTCTTTGATTAAGAAGGATTTTATTTTTCAGCTGATAATACTCTGGCTAATTTTGATAAACCGGTTTACTTATTCGTTCATACCGGAATTCTAAGCGTTTCAGAAGGAGAATAAACTCATCTGGTTATCTGGTCCTCAGTATCAAGCCATGTGAAGTCAGCTGTTGATGAAATTCTGCAGGGGACTATTGGAAATGCTTCTCGTGAAGCTTTCGCCAAGACTGTGAAGCATGTAAAAGCAATGACTTGATATTGGTGTTAGAAATTCGGATCTTATTCTTTGTACTTGAAAAGTGCAGTGGACGTCTACATTGATCTTGAAGCAGTGAACGCCTAGCTTGAATTTTGCATTCAATACTGGTTGTCTTTCAAATCTCCATCCGTGCCGCTTGCCTGTAGTCGAAACCATGATGATCAGGTCATTGAGGGAGATGACTTTTTTAGATTTTCCCCGTTGATCGTAAATGGTGTCTGTTATTGTTTATAGGATATCGTAATGATTTCTGGTTTCTCTGTGTTCACAAAAAGTCTGATCTTCTCTGACCCTTCTGCTAGCTTTTTGTTTTGTGCTTGCATATCTTAAAGTTTGTGGAACACGAGACATTAAACATCCTTGAAATCTAGATCGTCTACGGTCTTTTTGTCAGCTCAACGTATGCATGTTTTCTAACTCTCTACGATTTACAGCATGATCTGTTCCATTACTATTCGGAAAATCATTGGTGAGAGTAGATAGACTTTTCCTTTTTCTGTTTCCACTTCAAAAACTTTGATAAGTCTTAATGGTCACTTGGTATGAAAGTTTAATGTCAGTGAAAACTGTTGATATATTAATGGGCTTTTGTTTGTGAAATGATGTTTAATAAAATACATGCATTTTACTTTTAACCTTCAGTTGTAGATTAAGTGTGACTGATTGAAGTTTTACTCTACAGACTAGTTAAATTAGGACATGTCTTGATCTATTATTTGTAATTTGTATAAAACCAAGTGCTGTTTTGTGCAGATAAATTTTCGTGTTACTTCATTTGTTTAAAGTTTATGTGTATCCATGATAAATATCCATTCAGGCATTAGTGTCAAACAAAACAAATAGTTTAGCGAAGAGGCTGTTTTTGGAGAATTCATTTTCTTTGGCTGTAAAGTCACATTATCCTCAATTTTTTCTCCGAAAGAAGAGAACTGTCATAATCATAGCCGCAAATAATAATCAATGCATAAGGAAAGCTGGATAAGTATGTCAGAGTTACGTAAGTATTAGGAGTAGTTGAAGGATCCTCTTTTGTATGAAAGGCTCAGTTTTCTGTGCCTGGATGACTAGAGCTTCAGAAATGTTCAGAAGACGAAAGCGTATTATCTTTGATAGGTCACTCTTCACTTTGTAGATCACTTTGAAAAAGTTTGCTGAGATAGATTGACCGGTGTCGACAAGCTGCGCAGTTACTGCAGTGCTTATGAAATAGCTACTACCCTTCTGCGACCACGCAGAATAGTGTTCTTGAACGCTTTTAGACAGAATACGCTTCAGACAACCAAAATACCTGGCCTCACGTAAACGGGTGGACCGAAAAGAATTCCTTCACAAAGCCACTTGTTATTTTCCTACTCATATAGTCAGATATTCCATTACCGGTCTGTAGTTCGAAGTCTCTTTGTAAACTAAACTTTCTTAGAATATAAATGAAGGCTATATCTGCTAGATAAAGGTAAATAGTGCATTTAATTAAGCATGAATAAAAGCTCTCAACAAAATTCATGTATGATGGAATATATTGATAAGAATACAGTTTCCGTGTGATAAAGTACAGCAAGAAATGTATATGTGATAGGCCTTCTAAAGAAGAGATACAGTATATATAGTAGATAGATAGTTATTTCACTGAATGTAACCGCATGTGTAACATGGAATGCAAACTGTCTGAATAAATTTGCTTCCTGAAGAAATCGGAGATTTTCAATTTCTAGTCACAAATGAGAGAAGGCACTGAGAATCACAAGTCCACACTACACATCATTATAGCCATTTGCATATGCATATATAATGTCTTTGAGTTCTGAGCGTAGGTTATCCATTTTATCCTGTTAGCTGAAGTCCTCTTTAGCTGGTTGCACGACTGCACATATATTCCATTCCCAACTCATACTGTCTCCTCCATGTCACCTTCAGAAGTCTAACCTGTCGCTTTCCATTCACGTCCCACACAAGGGATTGCTTGGCGCATGATATCACTCAAACGTTTCATCAGTGCATTAAGAATCTAACCCCATTTTCTCTAGTATATCTGTTGGCTGATAAGTTCTTGGTTGATTCGTTTCCAGAGTTCCCTGTGCCTAATCCTTTCTAACCGTCAATCCGATCTTCCGTATGGAAAGAAGGCAGGTGTTCGTAAAAGTCTTCAGCAGGCTATTTGGAATGTATTTGTTGACACACCCACCAAATCTCTAAACCATATAGACTAACTGATCGACTTGACATTGGTGTTGGAAATCCACATCTTGTTCTTTATGCTGTAAGTGCAGTAGATTTATGAGTAATCGTTGTTTGTCTTGTTTGTCCAATCCTGTCTTTAACATGTTAATCCTTTCCGCCTGTAATTACAACAGTACTGGCCACATAAATGAATTAGATGGCCTCTTTCGAATTTCTCCCGTTGACAGTGATTGGTGCTAGTTGTTGTTATTAGTTGGTTGACTATCTTCACCACCTACGTCTTCTTTGTGTTCACTTAAAGTTCTGTCTTTACCTTTTCTTGTACCAACTTGTTATTTTGCAGCTGCAGATTTTCGAGTATATGTGACTGTAGACATAAATCATCCGCAAAGCCCAAATCTTCTAGAATCTTCTTAGTGGCCCAACGTATTCCTGTCTTCTCGCTCCCCACAGTCTCCAATCTACCTTAATCAGAAATATCATGGGTATATATATATATATATATATATATATATATATATATAGTAAAAAGGATAGGTTGATGCAATGTTTGAAACAGAGCCTCTTATTTTCGATGTTACAATAAAGTTGTTGAACATCTTTCAATTTAAACTAACTATCATTTTCTATAATTTAGACTAGTAAATGACATGAAGGATTATGCATTAATAATTCTACTAAACATTTTTGTTATATATTGTTCTGATTTTAGACTGCCATTAATTATGTTTAACTTCTTTTTTTCTAAATTTTTCTTTGGAACATGCAGTTAAATGCTTTGGCCATAAATTTAATCTACACTGTCAGCAAATTAGTGATAATCATATCCTGTTAAATTGGACGAGTCCACGATTTTATTCAAGAACACCAATATTTATGAGGGAAAAGATTAGTGATACCCAAAGTCGTGATCACGAATTGAAACACACTCAAAGTTCTCTGATGATTAATACCTCTGATAAGTGTAAATTCTACGAGTTTGAGTATATAAGTGTCGAAAGAAAGAATGTATTGTCTTTTGCAAATTGTAAATGTCACTATAGTAAGTTGTAATTGATTAATTCTATGTCTATTTATTATCTATTTCCAATACAATTATTAACTTTTTAAATATATAACACTGGGATTCTTGTATCTCGGACACTGCTGCAGCAGGTTGGAGGTGAAGCAGTAACTCATCGGAGAAGACATTACGAAGTGGTCGCGCTATGTTATGAATTAGCAGAAGTTAGAATTCACTGGCCACTGGATCGGGTCCCAGTGGCTTAACAGTCTACAAGCTCGCCTTGTAACTAGAAGGTCCTTGGCTCGAACTCCGGTGGGTGCGTACTACTGAATAAGAGTCCCAAACTACGACGAAATAACTGCCCAGTACTCCCAGGTTTTCCAATGGTTCTCTAACTGATGTCACCTCATGATGAAATCCTCCAACCAATCAAACAAAATCCCTACAAAAAACAAAAACTTGAAAAAAAATGAGATTATAAATATAAGAAGAATAATAACAGTAAAGTTTGATTTTATAAGGGTGGAGAAAATTGCTTATTTACGAGTGCTACGAAGATTAGTTAGTTCATGGATGACACTATTTTCATCACAAAATTCCATATTAGACAAGTTTATCTGATATAACAAAGTGATGATGCTACAGTATTAACAACTATATGACTTTTCCAGCACTATTTATTGTTCAGATTCATTTCAATTTAAGTTACAGACCCTCTTAATTAGTTTTATATTAACTAATTATACTTTCTCCCGTCCATAATTGAGTTATTCCACATATTTGAATGTGTGTCTTCGAAATGTGATCCATTTATTAACACTGCATTACTTTCCTTGTGTTTTATATCACATGAACTTATCTAATATGGCGTTATAATGCTTCCAAGGTGCCTAAATTCTACACTTACATTAACTAGTGATGAGGATAGGAAACTTGTATTAGTACGAAATTCAGAGGAAGTTGAAAGCAACTGAATTATCCAGCAACACTACATATATTCACACGAATACTAATTTGTAACTGTATTCAACTCACTGTGTTTACCATTAAAAAAAGGCCATCTATTTGTTGTTGCCTAAAAACTTGAAATTAATGTGGTTATAAATGTGTAAACCATAGTCTATGTTAAAATGTATCCATTACACATACACAGACCTAACTATTGTTTATTCCTATAGCAAACAGTTCACAGTTTGTAATAATTTTAACAAAACAATACGATAATGTCACTTATCTGAATTGTGTAATGGTAATTGGGCAATACATTTCTAATGAAGTTGTAATCGTACACACATATAGCTCTCATATGCGTCGGTGGCATAGCGGTTAGGACAAACGCCGACCATGCACATGGTCCGGGATTCGATCCCCGGCAGACGCACTCCTTTATCTCGCTAAGCCAGAAATAATGCTGGGGAAGAGGAAAGGTTGGGCAAGAGGCTAGCAACCCCATCCTGTAAAATAAATACTGCTACAGAAACTTCAAGCTACTAGCTTGAAGCCCTATGTTCCACTGGAGAACGTGAAGGAAAAAAAGTAATACAAGTATGATCATATAGTCAGAAATGTCTTGTGAACATACCTTATATGATTCAGATAAATTATATTTTCTTACTGTTCTGTTGGAATAAATATTTTATTTTATAATCATGTAATAATCTGAAGAGGGTTTACTAAAAGGAATATTCTTCGTTTAGACAACTGACCTTCAAATATGTAATTCTGAAGTTCATTATTAGATCAATAAGTATAGGTTGGAACATAATTTCGATTACAGTTAAAATTCATTACGAATGACATTATTTACTAATAGCTCTCATTGTGAATGAGTGATCTCTTTAAGATTTAATTAAAAATTTAGTTGTGTTAGTGTTTGCATCAAGGATTTACTGAAAAAAAATATCCCAATACCATACCGGAAGTCACTAACCGAATCCCTCTGTTATAGTTCAGTTTAACACATTAAAGTCAGCTTGTTAAACTGAGACTATCTTAAATAGTCTTAATAATGGCAGATATACGATAAAAACTGAGCCGACAGCTCAGTGAAGAGTGCTTACAAGGCATGCGGGATGTTTGTGTTCGATTCGCGAAAAATAAAAGGGGAAGGTTTCATTCTTAGGCAATTAACATCACCAAGTGGAAACAAATGAAATACACACAGAAACTTCAAAGCTTGAGACTCAGTGTCCCACTAAGGAATCACAGGAATGAAAAAAAAATATGATGAGATGAAATTCGAATATACTGTAAGTTGGTGATACAGCCCGAGGTGATAGTAGTTAGGTGGATGTTTATTAATATAATAGAGAAATAGTTAAAGATAACAACTTAAGTCTTATATGAATTAAAATTAGTATCTACTTAATTGGCATTTATTAATCATATACATGAGTCTGCAGTATCATAGATGAGCAGCTTAGGTGCCAGTCATTTTAGTCCTTCCGTGACCAGGATTTTCGTTTGAACTGCAACCATGAATCAATGGATACAACACACTAACCAAACAAATCCTCGTTAAATTAATAGGCTACACACTTAGATGAACGTTAACTTTGTTATTATGTAATTTTTGGTGATAACTACGCCTATTTAATTAGCTTCCTAGTTTTCTTGGGGATCCCAAGGTTTGGTAAAGAGGGACGGTTGAGCGTGTGGCTAGCAACAACACGCCACTAAGCCTATGGAACTGCTAAAGAAACAGCAACGTACAGAAAGTATATTAAAAATACAAAGAATTCAAATAACAGTCTTATTCTTCGCTGGAATCGGGGAGGCGAATCGACGCAGCAGGCTGGTAAAAGCCCGCCTTCGGGAAGACAGTCAGCCAGTCAATATGTCTTCTTTCTTTCAATGAAAGCAAAGATAATAACGGTGACGGAGTGTCTGTACAATTTACGAAACTGGGAAGGCTGCCCAGGTAGCCAAAGAGATGCGTAGATATGGCTTCGAAGTACTGGGTATCTCCAAAAGCGGATAGAATGGATGTGGATCATCAAAATCGTCAACTGGAAAGTCAGTAATCTACTCCTATCTGATCACTCACGCAGACGACAACCACGGGTATACTGAGGCAGTGAGTGGCTATCACGGTGTCACCAGCGGCAACCAAAGCCCCGATGCAGTGGGAACCGATTTCATCCAGGATCATGAAAGCAAGATTCACCTTGGAAGGAAGGAAGGTAGGTTACAATTATCTAATGCTACGCACAGTGCTACAAACAACGCGGAACAAGACAAGAAGGAAGCTTTATACAGACACCTACAAACAGCAATGGACATTATCGAAAATGGTGACATCAACATTCTCAGGGGCAATATGAATACAAGCCGAACTGGGAGCAGAAAGTACAGGAAAAGAACTCATCATGGATCAAGAGGCTCTCGCTCGGGGACATGAACACCATTGGAAAACTCTTCCCAGACTTCTGCGCTCTCAGTGATTTGGCGATTGGAGGCAGCGTGCACAAGCACAAGGATATACGCAAAGCAACGTAGATTTCGCCTGAAGGACACGCAACAAACTGGATAGACTCCACCTAAATGCTGCTCAGGAGAGTGGAGACGCAGACTGCTGTACAAAGTCGAGAAGAGGAGCAGATGTGGGCTAACACCATCATCTAGTTCAAGGAAACGTGTACAACTGTTCAAGGAAGAAGGGAGGGACACGACAAGGAATGGCTCTCGACGGACTCCCACCTGAAAGTATTAGAAGAGAGGACAGTAGGATGGTGAAAGGTAAGATGACCCAATGTAAAGATGGACAACAGAAGGAGAATCCAAATTCAATAAACACTGAGCTGAATAGAGAGACAAGTGGGGAAGGGTGCTAGGATAGACAAAAGACAGTTCTACGACACAGTGACCGGCAGCTGAAGCAGAACAGGTAAGAGAGACCTCAGGATACTATATCAGATAACTAGGCTGCTGGTTATCCAGGAAGAGATCATCCCAGATGATGAAACCAATTAGAGATGCTCAGGCGGACCTAAATAACAAGGAAGAGCAGCAAACAAATCAAACAGTGGGCTGATCACTGCAGAGGAATCTTGAATACACCATCACCTGCAACTCGGCCAGATATACTACCACCACTACCAACAACAACAGCACGCATAGAACTGCCTGCCTTTTTGACACCAATCCTCCAATGAAAGCAGAAATCCTGGATGCGACCAAGATAATGAACACCGACTGGGAAGGCAGCAGGACCAGACGGAATTCTTCCCAATCCGAAGCAGTGAAGACGAACCGAGAGACTGTGACATATGCGCTCACGCCTTGAAGGAAGAAAGCTAAGGTGCCTACCGGTGAAAGGAAGCCTGGTCACCGCGACAAGCTGCCAAAGAAGGGCGATTTACGCCTCACTCTGCAAGAACTGACTAGCTTGGAATAACTCCCTTGTCCATGCCAAGTAAAATACTCAGTCACGTCATCCTAGAAAGAATAAAGGATACACAGGATACAAATCTCCGCCTCAACAGCGGGAACAAGCTGACTGGATTTAGGAGAGGTAAGGCATGTGCTGATCAAATTGCAACTCCACTTATCATCATCACCATCATCGGACAAAGCATAGAATGACAATCAAACCTGTACTTTAGCTTAATCGACATTGAAAAGGCCTTCGACAGGCAGCCTTGGTCGAGAAGTAATTTTGAAATTTTTCTACACTACAGTGTGCAGTGTTCAAGTCTTTATCAACCTCAATCAGCAGCTGGCTATATGACAATGACACATGTCAGGTGATCCACAACGAAAGACTCAGTAAGATGTTCGAAATGCATACAGAAGTAAGACAAGGCTGGCAGTCAATTATAACCGATGATATCCCTAATTTTGGTGAACTAGATTATGCGGAAGACTATGCAAAGGGAGTGGGTTGACAGGAATACGCTGGACGACCGATAAGAAGACTCAAGAAGATCTGGATTTTGTGCATGGATGATATATCTCTAATATCACGCAAACTCGAAGATGTGTAGGCGAAATGCTACAAACTGGCTGAAGAAGCAGTCAGGTAGCGATGACAGGACTGAAGGTGAACATAGAGAAGACGGAGGTGATGAAGATAACCAACAAACAGCAGCAGCAACAACAACAATCAACGCCAATATCCATCAACGGGAAAGATTTAACAGAGGTCACCTCCTTCACTTATCTAGGAAGTACGGTTTTAACCACACGCGGATGACACGGATGAAGATGTTAGAGCCAGTCAGAATCGGAAAGGCTAGACACGCCTTCATGAAGCTGAAGCCAGTTTGCATACCTTCTGCACTGCACTCAGCCAGCATAAACAACAAGTTTTGGATTCTGTTGAACACCAATGTTAAGTCAGTCAGTCAGTCATTCAATTCTTCAGAAACTTGCACTGCGTGTCATGTAAAGAATTTCCAACAGGCCACTGCAGACTCTGATCAAAAACTGCCTGCTTAGCTGGCTGGCTCAATACTAAAGATCGAATGGCCAGCCGGCTGGTCAGAAAGAATTAGTAACATGGAACTGTGGGAGGCTGGGAACGAACTAACCAACAAGCAAGAGCCGATCATTCAACAAATATGTAGGAGAAAATGGAGATGGATTGATTGGGAATATATTGGGAAAACCGTGGAATGACATCACATGCGATGCAGGCCATCGCTCGAGTGAAGTCTCATTGCGAAGCGTCGAATGGGTCGTCGGTGCGACGGTGACATCGCGGTGATCCTGTGAGGAAGAGATGAGAGTTTATCGGCAATCGTGTGGCTAGCCAACTGAAGAGGATGGCAGAAAATGGAAGAAATTGGAAATGTGTTGTTGAAGCCCTATGTTCCACTCGGGACTCAAGGAAATAATAATATAATTCTGTTATAAAATAGAGGCCTCACTTAGATTCTGTACAAGATATGATCACCAGTATTGTCAATAATTAGATATCTCGTAATCCTAGGTCGCTTCTACGAATTAGTGATGTTTGCCGTTTAATTGTAGTATATTGATAATTCAAGTTGTGAGCACTGTCTTATGTGAAGTGTTGTTTCGCCTAACCCATAGCTTTTGATTTTAATAGCTGATTTTTTAGTGTTTGACGTGTTTTTTCGTCTGAAGGACCTTGATTGGTTCTAAGTTTGGTCATGAGGTAACATTAGTTAGAGAACCAGGGAAAACCGCAGAGTAATGGAGAGATGTTTCATCCGAGATAGGAGTTTTTCAGCAGTAAACCGGAGATTGGATATGGACACAAATTAAGATGAAACACCTGTCAAAAGCTTCTTGGTTTTCGATGACTTTCTGAGCGATACTGGTTCGTATCAATATCTATATTGAAAACAAATGAATAATGAACCATCAAAATATCAGATATAAGCGTTATTTACTAAAATTTATTTCAAGTTTCAGCACAGATCAATATCAACCACAGAACCATTGAAAATCAGGGAGCACTTGACACCTGTTTTATCCAAGTTAGGGACGTTTCGGCGGTACGCACCTATGAATTGATAGAAGTTGAAATTCAAGAGACGTTCGGCCGGATTCCATTAACTGAATAGTCAATTTGCTGGTCTTGTAACCAGAAGGTTGGAGGTTCGAATGCCAGTGGGTACTTACTGCTAAAGAGTCCAAAGTTAGAAGGAAAAAGCTGTCCAGTACTCACAGGTTTTCAGTGATTTTCTCTAACTGATATTAATCCATGATCAATCTTGTAACAAATGAAATCTCTGCAAACAATCTCCTGGATATATATGTCACCATATTTGTCGGTTAAACGTGATTTTAAACTTTGTGTAATTATATTAAACGCTAGGAAATATCTCTTTTCTTTTCTTGAAGTGCCCGCAATGTTTGAAAATATACGTTTTCGTTTAAAACAATCGAACAAACTTCAAATGACTTGGAACAGAAGAAAAAATGCATGTAACAATCACTTTAACACTCTTATCTTCCAAGTCAGTAAAACAAGAAATGTTATAAAAATGTTGGGAAATAAGAATAAAATAAAACTTAACGTGAATGGAAAAAAATATAATGAGGTTATTCTATTTCCTCATAATCCACTTATTTCAACGGAGAATCAAATAGGAAGTTTCGGAATGCCTACTCGTATCACTTTTAGAAAACCCGGTAAGTTCATTATTAATATTATTATTACTACCATTTCACTCAATTTTGTTTAACTTAGTGAGTCGAAGCAATAGCTTTAATAAAAACAGGATTAAAATTCCTATCGTCATTGACTAGAAATTGGCAGATTTTAGAATACACTGGCCATTAGATTCCGTTCCAGTTGATCAGTGGTCAGCCAGCTCGTCTCGTAACCTGTGTTCGATCCTCGAAGTTGGGGAAATCCATGCATACTGCTAAAGGGTCCCGAACCAGAACGAAACAGGTGTCCAGTACTTTCTCGTTTTCATTGGTTCTTTAACAGACATCCGTCCGTATCCAAACTTGACACCAATTAAAACCCTAGAAACTAACACTTGAACAGTTATTTTATTTTTGGACTACTTTCACTAAATTAGTTGTTAGTATTCAGCGGTTTGAAAAACATTGGGCATTGGGTATATGATGTTCATTATTATAAATACTTTTTGTATTTCTCAATAAATAAAAAATGAACGATATTATTTTTATAACTGTCAGTAGCCTTTTTGAACAGTATAAATATTTTTAAATGTTGTAGATATCTGTAGCTCAGCAATAGGATTGAAGCTGCTCTGGTATTTATTTCATCATGAACCCTCTCCGTAAAGTTAGTGCTGACAGATTTCAGATTTATTAATTGCGAATAAAAGGAATGAAACTTACGTTAATCCTCTTCTAAAAAGTTTCTGTGTTTATCTAGTGCCTTCTTGGACAAGTCGGTTGACGGCGCTGATACCACTTCTTCTGGGAATCATTTCCAAGGGTTCATTTTTCTGTGTCAGAACGAGTAATCCACAGAAACATAAGCCCTCTTTAGCTTTTGAACTCTCTTGCTATTTCCTCTGAGATGTTCTCACCAGGTGGGGAAAAAGAGGTAATAGGTCAAGTCCATAGTCATCTGTTAAGACTTTGAACATTGTAATGAGATCTCCTCTCTGCCTACGGTATGATAAGGGGAAGAGACCCCAATGGTTAGGTGTTCCCTTGTACGGTAAATTGGTCATACCAAGAATCATACGAACTGCCTTCCTTCAACCCTGTTCTCTCAACGACTGCCTACCTAGATATATTTTCCCAGTTTTGACGTTACCAGAGATGAATATAAAAGGTAAGCATATCACTGGTTGGTAACGCTAATAAACACTCTACGCACTGCCCATAATGACTTAAAACTTCGAGCTGCCACCGCGTCACAGTGTACCGAAATTTTTAGGTTATAACTTACTAAGACCCCTGGATCCATATGAGTCTGAACTAATGGGAGTGTTATTCTGTCAAGTTCACATGATCTAACGCTTGAATTTTCAATGTGCATGGTTGCTCACTTCGTTATGTTATCTGAACCAACCTAACAGTCCCTTTTGATCTCCTTGCAACATGAGCGTATTCTTATTACTCTTAATCCCTCTTCATTTATAGGGCTTTATCAGAATAATCTCTTCAGATTTCCAATGAGGGAAAAGGTGACGATTCTGGTTTAAAGGAAACTGTTGTAACCGAAGATAATAAGTGGATTTCAGTTCTTTTAACTTTTACTTGAAGGCTCGACAGTGTACTCGACTAATTACTGGACTACTATTCCCACACTGCGGAGATGCAGAAGACTGACTGAGGGCAAAAGGAAATAAGACCAAAAATTACAGCTAATTATGTACTACTTCACATAACCAATAGCATGAAGTAATAAAAATCCACTCACGAAATCTCTAGTCTTGATTAGGGTTGGACATCTGGTGTACAGATCATGTTAGAAACACTAACTCATAAGTCTATTCCTCTTCTAACCTGAGCTCATCAACACGTGGAGAACAAATGAACGAGGCATTTGCAAATTAAATTTTATACACACTTTGCATCACCTATAACGGTAGCAGAAAAGAGACATGGTATGTCTATATAGCGAAATTGTGTACACTTTATCTCCAAATCGTCATTTACACAGATCTCTGTTGTGCTACTTCTGCCTTTCGTATTGTGTTTCTTTATCTTCTTTTCCCGTGTTTTGCCACAATACTGGTTCATCTATTCTCTTTGACGTCAAATCTGTCTCTGTTCTGTTTGATATTTTTGTGCCGATAAACGTCTCATTGTATACTACTGATAAATCTTATCAGTAGTACATGCCATAGCCATATTGAATTCAGAATGGTAGCAGTCAGTCTTTTAGTTCCTAAATGTTTACCTTCACTAACTAAGATATTTAACTTATTGGCACAACTTTATAAAATGTAACCTTATTTTCAAAATACTCTATATCTCAGCCAGGTAAGTTTTAATTAACTACTTATACAGAACAGCAAGTATTTTAGTTAGAGCTGGAAATGACATCAGTTAGAGAACCAGTGAAAACCAGGAAGAATTGGACGAGTGGCCTGCTTGAATCAATAGGCTATCTGAATTCTGACCCAACACAATGAATCATGTTGTCTCCGATTCTTGTTGTCTTAACCATTAAACTGTGTTCTTGAGTCGCGAAATGTACTCACGCACATTTTACTTGGCTTTTAAAATACTGATGCACATTTTGTGGAGTTGAAGGAAGGGATTGGTATGTTCTTTAGATCTAAAAGCTTTAGTCACGTGATGCACTATAGACTGTTAGTTTATCTGAAGATCATGGATGAGTAGAAAGTATTGTACAATAAATTACACCGAGAATTCTGTACACTTCTCAAACATTTTGTTCAGAATAAAGCCGTTTACTTGTTGGTTATTTTAAAACTATTTCGTTCAAGTTCGGAAAGCATCGGTGAACCCAACCGGGATCGAAACCATTACTTTCAAATTAAAAGTCAGCCAGTTGACCACTTAGACACTGGGACAGAATTTAATACTCCAGGAATTTTACATGTTGTCATTGCGTAATGCGTAGCCCCACTGCTGAAGAGTGTTTGTCTGCACACCGGACTTAGTAGACCACATTGGTCATCATTCCTTACTGGAACTCCAGCCACAGCATCCTGCAGTTAGTAACTTGTGAAAGTTAGCATAATTTTCAATTGTTAATTTACATGGATTTAGCGGATTTCAAATTAGACCACCGAACTTCGTCCCATTCGCTAAATGGTAAAAGGCTCCACCATGGAACAAAAGTGAAATAAAGCTAAATATAGATTCAGTCAAAAATTAATCCTGATTGGTGAGCAGATAAATGACTCGGTTGATAATAAACCGCAATATGATAGAAATGGAGATATTTATTCAATAGGAAATATATTTACATACGTATTTTTTTCTCAGAACTCTTCTTAGCTACAAAAATATATCGGGGAATAAAAATTAGAAAACTTGCTGGAAATATGATTTTATTGACATGGAAACTGAGTAAAATCGCCTCTAAAAAACCATATTTTATGGTTATTTTGCGTGGTTCATCAACAAGCTCACTTAGAATGTCGGTTATCGGTAGCCGTGGAAATACTTTCAAACCTTTGAATGTCCCATTCAAACAAAAATATCGAATTACTATTTATCAATATTTGGATGGTATGCCTGATTGGCCAACAGTGATAACTATACGAAATCCGTGTAAGCTACACTCATTACATTCTGAATTGAATTTTTGTTTAAATTGTTCTTCTACTTTACGTTAACTAATTTTTAAGCATTTTTATAATATATTGCTGTTGTAATGCATTAATTCAGAGAAGAATCTCATTGGTTACTTTTTGTTTAACTGTAAGGTTGGTGAGCTTATTTCCAAAGTTTAAAGTCGTTGGACTTATAGGAGCAGGTATCACTATCTGATATATAGATGTATTGAACAGCAGACATTTGTCTTACTGAGGTGAGAGTTATTTTATTCCTAGTGTACTTAAACAAATATACTTCACACAACGAAATCAGATAGCCCGGAATATTTAAGTACCAGCTGTGATTGTCTTCTAAATAAACACACTGCTCCGGTCTGCTGTATATTAATTTATGAGAATTGTGTGTCGTTTATATCATACCTAGATCTCAACAATCCTAGTGGCTGGATGGTGAAAGGGATCGCCTCGTACACTGAAGGTCTGTGGTTCGATTTCTAGTGGGTTCGTGGGTAGGTACTTCTGAAGTGGAACGGACTAAAACGAGGCGGAAATCCGGTACTTGTCAGTTCCGTGTATGTCTGTGAATTAGTGGTAGAATGCCAGACAGGTACGGGATAGTTTCGGGCTCGAATAAACACTGGTGCACACCTAAACCTTACCTAATTTACTTGCTCACAGTAATCCTAGAAAACATGAAGGGTTAGGCATTTGGCTAGCAACCCTAGCACATAGAAACAAACACCACAGTCATTGTAACTTCAGAAGATACCTGAAGCTGTATGTTTTATCGGGAACAGGTTGATACAGACATTCATCAACACCTGCATTTGCTGACTGGATATTGAAGATCAGATGATTTGACTGAATAAGGCACAGAGGGCTGTGGGAGTTGATCGACCAAGAAATCATCGCTCAAGTAATTCTTAGAAAGAAATGGAGAAGGATTAGGCATAAGCCGAAGAGAAACTCCACTAAAATGACTCGCCTGGTAGATAATCCAATGCGAACCGAAACGGATGGGTTAGGCATGAGTCTACCGATGACAACGTGGAAAGTATGCGTGGATAAAATGAAAGCCTGTGGTCATTCATGTAGTTAGCTCAAAATGATGGTAGAGAAACGAGCTAAGCGAAGATGTGCCAGTGAAGCAGTATGTCCCATACGGAACGCAATGGAATGACTGATAATAGATATCGTTACTTTTGAAGTGTTTAGGGAACCTTAGCATTCTAATCTTTCTGATTCATAACGTAGGATATTGCATTTTGTCTGAAAAACTACGTATTCTTATTTGTTTTGATTTCATAGGTGCAAAATGCAAACTTAACGTTAAAATAGATCAACTCCAGTGGAAAAAAGAAAATGCTGATAATCAATTAATATTTTACGGCAAATAAATAAAGCTAATATTCTTAGGAAACGAACGCTTTCGATTTTGTTTCTCTTCTGTGGGTTAATACTTTCAGGCCTTTGAATTAGCAAGATTTTAAGTTATTGTCTACTACTTCGCCTTAAGTTATGAGTGGAACACAAGGCTCCAAGCTCTAAGGTTTTAGCAGCGAGCGTGTTGTTAATCTCACATCCAACCTTCCACCCTTCCCAAATTTTCTGTAGGGTAGTCAACTAGGTGGGATTCAATGGTGCATTGGTAGGGAAGGAAACCGGGACCACTCCAGTGGTTGGTGAGCATTCTACCACTGAACCACCGATGTACACATATGTATATATCATAAATTCGCCAGAAAGAATATATAAATTAGGAGATATTTAACAGTTTGAAGTGGATAGGGTTTACGGATGTATTTTTTCAAAATACAAGTATAAATTTCAGCGAATAGAGGGTTAACTAAAATTTTCAAGTTGTATGCAATATCCAGACAGATATTTACATTATTTCAAGGATGAGATAGTCCTAATTTTCGCGAAAAGAAGTAAAGAAACTTATGTTTGTTATGTATATTCGCAGCTCGTTGATAGTTCTAACAAAAACACTTTGAAAGCATAAGTCATTATTTCGACCTAACTAGTCCAAATTCAAGCCATCCTTTGAAATAGTGTCTATACGATCTACGTGTTCAAGTATGATATTGATGCGTGAATTTATATGATTTCATTGTTTTTGAGCGGTGATCATAAATAAAGTAAAACGAATGTTTTCACTACAATAGAGGATAAATCAAAAACCCTTTACAAATAAGTGTAATAAGTTGGTAATATGGAGAAAGAAATAATGACCCTATAGGTTGACGAAATGACCAGACGAGTTAAAATGTCATTAGAATAATATTAAATTACAAGTATAGAGAAAGATGATGCCAAATAAACTTTTATTCCGAATGCCAGAAGAAAAAGATTTGGTTTATTCACGTCTTCCGTCCATTCTTGAAGTTGGACTCTTAAAGTTAAGGCTAAATGAGATATGATTAGTAGTTTTAAAGGAGTTGATTCGGTTGTCTGATCCGAGTACAAATCTGTCCAATGTTGGTGAGCTCCACCGCATATAGCTAGACAGCACTACTGGTTGATATGAGTGGTACCCAGATACTCATATTAATCAATCAGTAGTATATAGGATCATGCATTGATGTTGATTTTCTTGATTATCATTCATGAAACGACTAAACAAATCACATATTGCGATCTGTATAGTTTCCATTTCCGAAGGAAATCGGTGAAATTTCTTCTTGAACTGTGTAAATTGCGAATGGTAAATTATTTAGCAAATTGTGAATTTGATTTGTCTGAAAAGTCAGTATTCTATGTACCCTATTGATAGGATATGTTAAAAAGAGTTGCCTATCAACTTTCTCCATCTCTTGCTTAGTCAGGAATGATAATTTTCCAAAATTCGATAGTTAACATGTTTAAGTGTCCTCTTATCAAAACCAATTCAACAAAAGTAGCTTTACTGTCGAATACTTATGGTACAGTCGAAATGTAATCATTCATCTTTGTTTATCGAAATTATTTTCTGCTGACTTATAAGTAAAGGAATAAATATACCTCAATAAGAAATCTGGAGGTGATTTTCAAATGCGGTGTTTGAAGTTGTTGAATGACATCACAACCAGATTCAATTTTCAAAGGAGAGGCCTCATAGGCGCTGCCGACAAGCTGATTGTATTAAGTAACTCAGTAATATTTCTTACCAGAGAACCTCCACAAGGTAGTTTACTGACATGAAGTTTGACCACTAGCTGACTGTAGTCGCAGAACCATTGGAAACCAGGGAGTACTGGACGGCTATTTCACCCTAGTTCAAGACTCTTCAGTAGTAAGCACACATAACCCTGCCGAGGATCGAATCCATGGTCTTCAGGTGTCCAAGTTAGTTTGTCTATCATTGAGCAAATTGGAGGGAATCCATAAATCACTGAATGAAAACTTCTGTCTATTCGTCATAGACAGCGCCACCCGGATTGTCAGTTGTTCTCCAAGTGAAATTGGTTCTTGATAAACGTGAAAGCAATCTAATCTCAGCAAACCGACACTTGCAGATTTTAGTGATACTTCACTGAGATAGCTGTTTTAGAAGATTATTGTAAATTAATGAATAAAACGCTTCCTTAGGTAGCGCTTCAATATCATTTTCATTAGGGCACATATCAACGATGAAATATTCAGGACATTTGAGTATTAATTCAAGGCTAAAATAGATTGCCAGATGTATGTCATTCAGTATAATCGTTGCATCGCTATCATCTATGGAATCTAAAATGTCTCAGCCATTTAGCGACAGTAAAATTGCAATTCCCTGTATTTGCTTTCCTGATGGTCACACTCTGACTTCTTTTTCTGTCAGTAATTCAAGTCCTAAACTTATAGCCATAAAATCTGTTATTGTAGAATTATTCTAAGTTGGAAAAAAAGTTTTAAGTTGAGCATATCTCGTAAATAAAGGAATCGTAAAATTCAGTCTTCGTTTATTGAATTAACCAGACTATTTTCAGCAAGGGCAAGCTATTGATTAAGGAAGATATCTCAAAAAGTAATGAATAAACCAGTTACACTCAGATCCATTTTCCTGCAGACGAATCCATAATTTGAATAAAGCAAGAACAACAGTTTTTGCACAATAAAATGGTACTATCATTTATTTCGTTGGCTTCTTATCAGCTGCCTACATGCCAAAGTCATTATGATTAAGTATGTCTTCAGGAATGATTTTAATATTCTTCCACACAGTTCATTTTTAAATAAAAATCAATATATACATATATAACAGTTTGCATATACTGATTGATTTTTGTTTAAAAATGAACTGTGTGGAAGAATATTAAAATCATCTCTGAGGATGTGGTGAGAGCTGTCTACTAGCCAAGTGGTGGACAGTAATTGAGGTCAAAGGTCAAGGTGGACAGGCGGTTACAGTTAACATATAGATGACCTGACACAGCCACAAGAGATGCAAGGTTAACTTTGTGTGAGAAACAACCAATCAACAGACTGTATTTTCTACTAACATTGACCTACAATAATGTACATAAAAATCTATAAATACGTGTTGATTTTTCGTAATAAACGATCTGTTGCCTGGCCCTTGTCTTCTGTTGTTACAAGGACATACTTAATCGTAATGACTTTGGCGTGTAGGCAGCTGATAAGAAGCCAACGAAATAAATGATGGTACCATTTTATTGTGCAAACCTTTTGTTCTTGCTGCATTCAAATTCATTCAAAGGAATAAATGTATGGGATCCAGAATTATTCCCCAGCGTGTATTTCGCTAATTCACTAATCAATAACTGCTACTGTCTTGCTAACAAATCACACACCTCTAAGTTTAGCACCTTTTTCCCTTCACGTTCCCCAGCGGAACATAGGGCTTCAAGCTAGTGACTTGAAGTTTCTTTAGCAGTGCTTATTTTACGGGATGGGGTCGCTAGCCTCATGCTCAACCTTTCCTTTTCACCAGCTTTAAGTTCTGGCTTAGCGAGGTAAAGGAGTGCGTCGGCCGGGGATCGAACCCCGGACCATGTGCATGGTCGGCGAGCGTCCTAACTGCTATACCACAGACGCACAAGTTTAGCATATCTCTCACTTATTTGGGCAGCATTGTTTCATTTACAGATCGGGAGGATGAAAACGTCAAAGGTGGGGTCGGAGATGCAAGACAGTCACTCATTACTCTGAAATCTGTCAGAAAATCTACTGCAATCAATATAAAGAACGAGAATCGAGTTTTCAAGACTGATGTCGAGTCAGTCAGTGCTTCCATATGGTTCAGAGACTTGGCCCGTCATGGAAAGTATTCCCAACGGGTTACTGTAAACTTTCATCAACAGCTACCTTCACTCAATAGTAGAGATCACATGTACGATTAGGAAGGATTAACCACAAGGAACTCTGGGAACCGACCAAACCAGGACCTATTGACTAACGAAAATGCCGAAGGAAATGGACATGGATCAGACACTTGCTGACAAGAACATAGAGTGACATCATGCTGCAGGTAGGTCCTCAAGTGGAATCCGAATGAAGAACAATGAGTAGGGTGTGGGTCTCAGAATGAGACAGAGGAGGTTGTATGAGCAGGAGATGAGAGTTTCTGAGAGATCATAAAGTCAGCTAAAGGGAACTGAAGAGAACAGGATGAAATGAAGATGAGCTGATAAAGCCCTATGTTCCGCTTGTAACTCAAGGGAATAATAATGCCAAGTTTGACATATCTGAAACCGGTCGAAAAGAAAAATACTGGATTTGCATTTGAGCAGCTCTTACATTATCAGTGGGTCGCAAGAGTTTAGCCATCTTTCGTAAAACAGCAGCTTGTGGTTTCACTGTCTCAATGACTATTTCTGATTTGCATTTTACTACAAGACCAAAAGAAGTCACTGATTAATAAAAACTAAAAACATCTACGAAGCAGACTGTTCATTTAGTATGAGTATCTTAGTTGATCGATGTGCACTAATCTACCGGTCCATTCCATACTGCGTTAAAATGAAAGATTTATCAGACCCAGACGTTTGCGGCCAGATCCAAAAACATACTTAGACTGCATATTTCGCATATCGATCATCATAATATCCGAAGCTAAATTTAGATTTCTTTCTTTTGAAAAGAATTTGTCTTACAAAACTGAGTGCAACAAGCAAAGATGGTTAATAAGACCGGATTTAATGAACTCATCAAATTTCGGTCGTACACTTCAGCTGAATACTCTGCACACAGGGATATATATATATATACTAATGAAAATACATTGGGAGATACAAGACTGATAAGCAAATAAACGACATTGAATTAATCATGCAAAACGACACGCTGAATGTTTCTCAGGTTATTTTCTAATAGATAAGGGGAGGAAGGGAGTATGAGAGATTAAAATTAACATGAAATGCAATACGGTCCAATTACATGACTTAGATGGACGATTGGTCGTCAGAAAAGGAAC